TGCCCCCACTTTCCTTGGGAGTGGAAAAATGTATTTTTTTGTGGTTATTTTTGCCCCAGGAATTCTGGAATTCCCAAGCCAGGTTTAGCTAAACCCAGGAATGGGGTCTGTATCTCCTTGGGGTGTTGACAGGGCCACATTCCATGCAAGGCTCTCCCATTCCCGGGAAAAGCAGCTCCGCCTTTTCCTTGTCTGGTGCCCAATTTGCTCTTAATTAGGCAGCGCTTAATTAGGCCGAGCATCCTCCTGACTCCTCTAAAACCGGCGGGGGGGGTTGATTAGGAAGAGCCAGGAGAACAAAGGAAGTGGTCAAAGACCCCAGGAGAAGGGATGAGTTTCCCTGGAATTCCTGCCCCTCTGGGAATTGGGGATTTGAGGATGGGAAGCCTCAAAGAAGGGGGGAAAAAAAAGGGCCTGAGCTGCAGGAAAACTCCTGCTCAATCCCCCATTTGGGGCAGGAGCTCCTCTGAACCTCTGGGACCTGGAAAAGCAGCTGCATTTGGGGCTTTTCCAGGGAGAATTCCGGCACCTTCCGGGAAAAGCTGTGGGTGTGCAGTGGCACAGAGCAGAGAGGAGGAGGGCCATGTGCATTTTATTATATATATTATTGAAAGAAAAGCCATCACTCCTAAAGCAAGAAGCAGAGGGAAGTATTTTTGGTTGGGGTTTTTTTTTGGTTTTAGTTTTTTTTTGGTTTTAGGGGTTTTTTTAATTGTTTTGCATTTTTTTTTGGTTTTAGGGTTTTTTAGGGTTTTTTTTTGTTTTAGTTTTTTTTGGTTTTAGGGTTTTTTTTTTGTTTTGGGTTTTTTTTGATTTAGGGTGTTTTTTTTTTGGCTTTGGGGTTTTTTTGGTTTTAGGGGTTTTTTTGGGTTTTTTTTGTTTGTTTGTTTTGTTTGTTTTTTGGTTTTTTTTGTTTTTTGTGGGTTTTTTTAGGTTTTTTTTTCGGTTTTAGGGGTTTTTTTGGTTTTAGTTTTTTTTTGGTTTAGGGGTTTTTCTTTGGTTTTAGGGTTTTTTTTGGTTTTAGTTTTTTTTTATTTTAGTTTTTTTGGGTTTAGTTTTTTTGTTTGTTTGTTTTAGGGGTTTTTTTTGTATCAGTTTTTGTTTGTTTGTTTTAGGAGTTTTTTTTTGCTTTTAGGTTTTGCAGGTTTTTTTGGGAGGGAAAAGCGTGGACTTAAACTCCCAACTGACAAAACTCCTCCCTCAGAAGAAAGGCTTCACATCACCACTGTGCTTTTATTTCTTATTTTATTTCTTAAAATACATTTATTTGGCGAAAACACTTTTTAACCTCCAAGACTCTCCTCCTCTGGAGCCGAGGTAACTTTTAACCCTGAAGCTCCTGTCCTGGGTCACTTATCCAAGTACCCACCTTTCCTTAATTTCACCTGAGTTACCCCCAAATCCAGGAAAACAATCAGCAAGAAAAGTGCTTTTTACTTGATTTTTATCCATTTATTTATTTAATTTGCTGTGACACCCCCTCGCTTTCCAACCCTCTAAAATTAGGGGGCTAAATCCCAAATTAAAACCGAATTATCCAACCCCCTGAAATTAGGGAGCTAAATCCCCAATTAAAACTGAATCATCCAACCCTCTAAAATTAGGGGGCTAAATCCCAAATTAAAACTGCATTATCCAACCCTCTAAAATTAGGGGGCTAAATCCCAAATTAAAACCGAATCATCCAACCCCTTGAAATTAGTGACACCCCCTCGCTGTGACACCCCCTCGCTTTCCAACCTCCCCGAAATTAGGGGGCTAAATCCCAAATTAAAACCGAATTATCCCCCCCCCCAACCCTTTTAATGTGAACCCACCGCCACTAATCCCTTCCCGCCGCTCCCAGCCTGAAAATTTGGGACGAGCTGGACAGGGAAAAACCTTCCCTAATGAATTTCCAGGGAGTGGGGAGGTGATAATCACGTCTGCAGTCAGGCTTTGCTAAACCCAACCTCTCTCTTTTTTTTCTCTCTCTCTCTCTCTCTCTCTCTCCCCCAGCCCCTCCTCGAAGTTAAAAACTTTTGGCTCAAGAATGTGGTTGGGTTGTTCCTTCGCCGCTACTCCCACTCCTCCTGCACCCCTTTCCCCGGCTCAAGGCCCTCCCCCTCGGCCAATTTGGATGAGGCTGCACCTTTTCTTCTCTTCCCCTTCCAGAGTGAGGGTTTTTGAGCTCCCTTCTTTTCTGCCCCTCAGATATCTCCCCACTTTAAACAAAGGAGAGCTCTGGGCACATCACCACTTCCAGGACGTAAAAAAGGTATTTAAAAAAACCCACTTTCAGACTTAAAAAGAAAAAAAAAAAAAAAAAAAAAAAAAAAAAAGCCAGAGCTGCCAGAGCCGTTTCTTTTCTCTTTCTCTCTCTTTTTTTTTTTTTTTTTTTTTTTTAATCTCTGTTTCATTGGGGTTTTCGCACAGGTTTTTTTGGTTTGATGGTTGTTTTGTTTTTATTTTTTTTGGTTTTTTTGTTTTTTGTTTTTTTTTTAATCGATTTAATTTGCACACTCCAAGCCTTTTGCCTCGGGAAACGTTTCCTGCTCCCTTCCCAACACCCGGGTAAAAAAATCTGATTTAGTGGTTGATTCTCTCACTGCTCTCTCGGGGTGTTTCTTACAAGTGGGGGCTCGCTGGGATTTCTCAGCGCTGAAAAAAAACTCCGGAGCCTTTTTTTTTTGTTTGTTTGTTCTCCTTCTTTTTGTCGTTGTCGTTGTTATTTAAATTTTTAACTCTCTCGCCGGGTGTAAACGACTTTTCCGGGCTCTCTCAGTTAAGACTTGTGCGAGCGCTCTCAGGGTTCGGGGATCGATCATTATTTCTTCAGGATTCTCCGGGAGAGGAAATGGAAAAGCAGCAGCTGGACTTTTTTTTCTTCGCTTGAAATTTCTGCGGGGGCAAAACTTTATATTTATGCTTTTTACCACTTTATTTTATTTTATTCGATTTTTGTTTTGTTTGTTTTGTCCTTTTTTTTTTTTTTCCCCCTCCCCTCTTCCCGCATCTGTCCCGCACCTCTGGGAGAGGGAACAACTCTCCCTTTTGTCTCGCCGGGATAACCCGACCCCGGCCAGGCGAAGTCAGAGCTCTCAGGGCTCCGCAGGAAGGGCAGTTTCTTTGTCTCCCAGCCCTGCCTTTCCCCCCCTTCCCACTCTCCCTTCTCATTCACTGAAATATTAGAGCCTGCAAAAAAAAAAAGAAAAAAAAATCCCTGCCCTCTCGAGCTGACACATTCCCAGCTGGGAAAAAAAGCAGGGGAGGGAAATGAGGTTTTAATTATTTTCGAATAATTTTTTTTTTTTAACCCCCTTTTTTTTTTCAATAATTTTTTTTTTTTTTTAATGGTTCAGACACATTTTCTGTCTTGTCTGGGCTGATTTTTTTTTCCCTTTTTTTGTTTTTTTTTTTTTTTTTGCCTGCTTTGAGGCCGGGCTGGAACGGGAAAGCTGCTGTGGGAAAGCAGGGGGGACAGGCAGGGGGGGACTCGGGGGCCCTTTTCCCTCCCCGAAGCTGCTCCCGGGGCCTCTCCAGCTCCAAATTGTTTCCACTCCGGGCTGGAGAAGGGAGATCCAGCAGCATTTGCCTCCCTGAACGACCAGATTTTTTTTTTGGGGGGAGGGTCTCGAGGTGAGAGATGGATCCTGACCCTGCTGCTGGCCGGGAGGAAAAAGGGGTGGGATCCCCAGCCCCAATTCCACAGGGGGAAATTTGGGAATCGGGGGGGTGATGGGGATGAGGGGGAGGAGAAGGGGGTGCAGGGTGTGGAGTGTGACCCACTTTCCAGAGCTTTTTCCTTGGGTTTTCTCGTTGCCCCCCTCCCTGCTCCCCACACCCCACAGCAGCCCCCCATGGTCACATGGCCACCCCAGGGAGTCACTGAATGTGTCCCCTGTGGCTTCCGGGGGGGGGGGGGGTTTCAGTGCTGTGCCAGGGTCTTCACCCCTTCCCAGGGCTGTTCTCCTTCACCCCAGAGCCCCCCAGCCCCAGGATGGCTCTCAGGTTAAGCCCACCCTGGGCTCCTTCTCCCCAGCTCTGCCCACGGGCCCCCCGTGCCGTGTCCCTGTTTTCCCGGGAAGGGTTTTGCTCGTGGCAAAAAAAACCTCTGGGGGTGAAGACCTGCCCTGGTGTGGTTTGGGGGCAGCCTCTGGCTCTGGAGCTGTGTCCATCTCCCAGGCTCTGGAGCTGGGCAAGCTGTGCTCATCCCAAGCCCGAGGGGTGAGGGGTCTCCTTCCTGCCTCCCTTGGCCCACTCCCCTTCTCCACAGAGGCTTTGCACCTGTATCATCCTCCTCCTCGTGCCTCTCAGCTGCCTGTCCCAGCTCAGGAGCTCTTCTCCATCCCTCCAGCACGTCCACCCTCTCCTCTGTCCCTTCCCTCTCCGTGGAATCCAGGCTTAGCTTGAGGCATCTTCATTCCTTGGTCCCAGCTCATGGTTTTCCATCTCACTCCAGCCCACCAGGATCCTTTTTCCTGCTGGTGTGCACTGGTGTCCATGTCCCTCTGATGGTTTCCCAGCAGACCATTCCCCTCAGGCAGCTGGAATGATCCGGGAGGTTGTTTTCCAGCAGCTGGAAGTGAATCTCCACTCCATGGCCTGTCCAGAGTGCAGTGGAGTCAAACAGAGCTGGGAAGATGGTCCAGAAATAGGACCTGCTCTTTCCTGAAGTTCTCCTCCTGCTTGGTGGGCTTGTTTTCTCCACCAGGAGGGCAGGAAAATAGATGGGAGACCCTTGGACATCTTCTCTTGGTCTCCAGCTCTTGGGAAAGAAGGATTTGGCACTGCAGTGGTGGGGAGGCAAAGCGGGTGGGACTGTGCGACCCCACAGCAGGGGTGTGGGGTGATATAAAAGTGGGATGATAGAAGAGTGGGGTGATATAAAAGTGGGATGATAGAAGAGTGGGGTGATTGATAGAAGAGTGGGGTGATAGAAGAGTGGGATGATATAAAGGTGTTAGAAAGCCCTTGAGAACACTCTCCTCTCTTTTTCTCTCCCATCTTTCCCCTCCTAGACCGGGAAGGGCACGGACGGCACCTCGGCGCTCGGGGGGACCCGCCGCCGAAAATCCGCAGCGGGGAGGCCCTCGCGGCCGGAAGAAGCTTTCGGGGGACTCGAGGGGCTCTGGGCCCTCACCCACCATGGGGGTTTTGTGGCTGGCCAGGCTGGTGCTGGGATGTACGGCGGTGGCGTGCGTGGGGCACGCCCGGGCGCAGTACGAGGGGGACCTGCAGACGGACAGATTCGCCGGCTACGAGGAGAGGCCGCCCAGCAGGGTGAGGAGGAGAGGCCAGGACTCGTTACGAGGGTGAGTTTGGATGTTCTCCGGTGTTTTTGTGTGGCAGGGGTCGGGTTGGGAGCTCAGCACGCGCGGCTGGGCCGGAGGGATGTCCAAGGAGGGTCCTGTGGGAGCAGAGCTGGGCATTGAACTCTGTTTTGGGGGTCACAGCACCTCGAGGTTCATCTGCAGTGATTGTGAAGAGCCCCCCACACCCACCTGTTGGTGGGAGGGGTCCCCTTGTTTGTCTTCCCTGGGAGGGTGGGGAGATCCCTGGCATGGGTTGCCCCATCCCTGGAAGTGTCCAAGGACAGGTTGGAGAAGAAAAGGTTCCAAGGAGACCACAGAGCCCCTTCCAGGGCCTGAAGGGGCTCCAGGAGAGCTGGAGAGGGACTTGGGACAAGAGATGGAGGGGCAGGACACAGGGAACGGCTTCAAAGTGAAAGAGGGGAAATTTAGGTGGGATATTGGGAAGGAATTCCTGGCTGAGAGGGTGGTGAGGGGCTGGGATGGATTTCCCAGAGAAGCTGTGGCTACCCTATCCCTGGAAGTGTCCAAGGCCAAGTTGGAGCACCCTGGGCTAGTGGAAGGTGTCCCTGCCCATGGCAGGGGTGGCACTGGACGGGCTTTAAGGTCCTTCCCCCCCAAACCCCGTGCAGCCATGGCCGGGGCCGCGTTTTCCACATGGCTGGCAGGGATGTTGTCACCTCAGGATTTGACCCTGGAGTTGCCTTTGGCTCTGCTGTCCCTGGCTCTGGGCTGTGCTGGGAGGTCGCTGCCCCTGAGAGCTGCTTTGCCAGGAGTGTTTCTGAGGGGAAGGTGCCCCTCAGCCCCTCGTTGTGCCTCGAGGGCTCATCTGTGGGACAAATCGGCGCGAGAACCCGTTTTCCACCTGAGGAGGGAGACAGGGCTCGGCCAGAGGCTCCCTGTGCCGGAGCTGGGCTGTGTTTCCTGCTCTCAAGATGGTTCCTGGCCCCGGTGTGGACTCTGGGTTATTTTAAGTCTGTCTGGCTGCAGTTCTTGGAAAGCTTTCCTGTGTCAGTGGGCAGGGCCGGAGCGGAACGTGATCCACGCGCGGGGCCCCGGCCGTGCCAGAGGCCTCGGCTCTCGCCGGGAATGTGGCTTGAACGGCCTGGAGAGCTGAGCTTTGAGCCCAGACAGGCTCAGATGTGCCGTGTTTTGGGCTGGAGCCGGAGCTCAGAGCCCTGGCCCCGCCGCAGGGAATCTGCTCCCGGGATTCCGGCGCGCGTGGCCTCCCCTTCCCGCCGCGCAGGACTGGGGAAAGGCGGACGGTCGCCCTCCTGGGATTTGGGGTTCTCCAAACCAGCTCCCCAACAACAGCCCTTTGCTCCCTCCCAGGGTAGGGACACCCTTTTTCTCCCCTGTTACTTTTGCTGCTCCTCATCCCTCAGAGATATCATCCCCAAAAAATCTTTATGGCTGTGGGTGTTGGGCCTGATTGTCTCCAGAGATCCCTTCAGCCCCGACCCTCCCACGGTTCTGTGACTAAAGGGGGGGAAGGCTGTTGTTTGGAAAGGATGGTTTTACCAGATCCAGGGGCTCTGATTCACCCTGGGCTGTGTGTGGCTGATTCCTGAGCTCCCAGTGGAGGTGGGAAGGACTGGAAGGAGCTGCTGTGGGCTCGGATAACGTTGTCTCACGCAGCCCTGTGAAGAAAAAGGAAGGGCAGAGCAAGGAAAGAAATGTTTCCATTGCTCACAGCACCCAAAACAAAAGGTCACTGGTGCCCAGTGGTCTTCTGGCACTCGGTGACTTCAGTGGCCAGACCCTGGTTCCAAAAATTATTTCCAGCTTAAACCCTTTTTTTTTTTGATTTCTGGTCGAGTCTGAAGAGTCCAAATCCCGAGGGCGCTTTTAAAAAAACCAAGGGGCAGATTCCCAAGGCAGAAATGACTTCTGCAAAAAAAAAAACAACCCTTCTGCACTTTGAAGCATCAGGCAGGGACCAACATTTAAGTAAAAATGACACCAAGGGGGTTGGTTGGGCAAGTTCTCAGTGGCCACACAGCCCTGTCTGGCTCCCAGTCCCCTGCAGGGAGCTGAGGACCACACTCCTCCCTCCTCCTCCTCCCCTCCTGCTTCCCTCACGCCCCGTGGAGCAACTGCTGGAGGAAAAGAGAGAAAAAAAAAAAAACAACCACTGGGATAAGTGCAAGGTCTGTGTAAGGAAGTCTGGGCAGCTCTAATTTAAGCCAACTGAAGATTCATTGTTTTCTTGCCCCTCGGGAGAGCAGGACTTGTTCCGAGGGAGGGATTCGTGGTGGGCAGCACAGGGGGGAGCTGGCAAAGCTTGGAGTGGCTGGAGCTCCTGCCCCAGGCACTTCCCATGCTCCCTGATGGTTTGGTGTCCAAATCTCAGGGTTTCCAGCCCCTCAGAGATCCCTCTCTTTAAAAAAATCCCCGTTTTCCCAGGCAGGGGAGCACCACTTGTGACGAGAAATCTGCATTTTAAATAATGTTCTGCTGGGCTTAGGAAGCACCTACAGGTGTCACCAGGTGGGTCTGGCAGCCAGTGAGAGCCATCTCCTGCAGAGCCAAAAATCCCAGTGATTTTTCCTGTGGAATCCCCAAAACTGGGCTGGTCCCTTGTCCTCGTGCTCTGACTCGAAACAATTTATTGTGGTGGGTCGACATCAACACTGGACTTGGTGATCTTAGAGGTCGTTTCCAACCTTCTCTGGAATCCTCCCTGACCTGGGTTTTGCTGCTTTAAGGTGTCAGGATGGGGCATTTCCCAGGAAAAGAGTTGAGTGAACCCAAGTGGCCCTGGGAGATCTTTTCTCTTTCGGTGGCAAGTTGACTTCTGTGAAGTCTTCCATCAATTAATACTCATGGAAACACCCCAAAATTTCATATCAACAAGCTCATGGTAAAGAAACTGCTCTCCAGGAGCTCCAAGACAAGCCCTTGTTGATGTTTGGGCACCACGAGGGCAGTTGTAGATGAATTGTTGCTAAAAGAGAGTTCAGGCCAAGAGGTTGTGTGTGTTTTTGCTGGAAAATCTATTTATTTGGGAGCTCAGTTCCCATCCCAGCCCCCTCCAATAAGGGGAAAAGCACGAAACAAATGCAAAGCATGGCCTAAACACAAAACAAACAAGCCTCTTATCCACCAATGCTTTCACAAATAACAATTAATAAAAGCAATAAATCAGGGCCAAAGCCACGATTTTAATCTGTCCTTGGGCTCATTAAAGGGGAGACAATTCGAAATCACTGGTCTCCTGAAAGGAACAGCCCTGACAAATCCATTTATGAGGGCAGGATTTGAATGGGATTATTAGTTTAATGAACTATTGAACGGCTTCCAAGAGCAGGAATGTGTTTAACAAAGGGGGAAAGCAAAGATGATTAGTCTGCAGCCAGCTGAGCTCTTGTGCTGGCACCATGATTTCCTGTAAGTTCCTGGCTGCCTGTTTTTTCAGGGGAAGAATAAAGGCTCAGCTATGGCCTGACTTTAAACACAACTAATTATGTCAAGCCCATTAATTATGAAATGGCCACTGCAATTGAGAAGATGGATGGAGAGAGGATGTTTTGGGGAGGTGTTTGTTGTGCCTCTTCCCTGGCTCTGGCTGATGGGAAGGGATTGAGGTGTCTGAATTCCCTGTGGGGAAAAGGGGGGGACAGGAGGAGTTCCCAAACTGCAACTTTTGGACGCTCTTCTGATTTTCCAGCTTGTCCCTGGGGAATGGGGAGGGGAGGAACTGCAGAACAGGAGCTGAGGGATGGGGGTGAACCCTCCATCCCCTCCCTGAGCAGTGGAGAGGGAAAACTGGGATTTCTGGGCACCAAGTTAAACTAAAGCTGTTTTTGGGGTGATGTTTAACATGGAGGATGTACCTGAGAAAGGCACCTGAGGTGTCCACAGGTGATTTCCAGCAGTGTTTGCCACCGAGTCCACCCCTGATGTTGCAGAATCTTAGCCCAGGAATCCCAACGAGGGGTTTTTTTGGATCCATGGAATTGTAATTCCCTTCACTCTCAGTGAAGGTTTACCAGAAATGTGTGCTTTTAAAAACTGCAGAACGGGAGCTGAGGGATGGGGGTGAACCCTCCATCCCCTCCCTGAGCAGCAGAGAGGGAAAACTGGGATTTCTGGGCACCAAGTTAAACTAGAGCTGGCTTTGGGGTGATGTTTAACATCGAGGATGTACCTGAGAAAGGCACCTGAGGTGTCCACAGGTGATTTCCAGCAGTGTTTGCCACCAAGTCCACCCCTGACATTGCAGTTCCACCAGAATCTTAGCCCAGGAATCCCAACGAGGGTTTTTGTTTTGGACCACCAGGAATTGTAGTTCCCTTCACTCTCAGTGAAGGTTTACCAGGAATGTGAGCTTTTAAAAAGAGCTGGTGCCCCAAACACCCCCAGCCCTGCCAGAAGTTCCCCAGTCCAGGTTCTGCCTCTGCCAAGTCCGAGCTCGGTGTTGGAGTTCGAGGAATCGGCCCCGAGGGGGGATCAGCAAATCCCTTCTGTGCCTTTGCCACTCCTGGGAATCACAGGATCCATGGAATACCCCCCAGGGATCATCAGTCCAACACCTGGCCCTGCCCAGGACACCCCAACAACCCCCCCTGTCCCTCAGAGCCCCTCGTGAGGGAGTTGTTTGAGCTGTGGGATCTGATTTCCTCGATCCCTCGGAGCCCTTTAAACGCCCAAATTCACCTTTATCTCCTAAAAACCCCTCACATCTTGACCTAAAAGCTGTAGAAAAACCTGCTTGAAACTCAGCAATCCTGTTTGGAGCAGGAACAAGTCCCTGCCAGGAGGATGGAACCGGGTGGGATCAGGGAAAACAAGGAGGCAGGAGCAGAGGAAACGGCCTCGAGCTGTGCCAGGGGAGGTTTATATTGGACGTGAGGGATTCTTTTTTCCCCACAGAAAGGGTTGTGAAGCCCTGGCACAGGGTGCCCAGGGCAGTCACCACCCCTGGAAGTGCCCAGGGATGTGTGGATGTGGCAGCTGGGGAGGTGGATTGGTGGTGAACATGGTGATGTTTGGGTTGAGGG